GCCCCGCCGGTGCCCACGTCTACCTCGCCTACGCCCTCCCCACCGGCGCCTGCACCCTCGCCGCATACCTATCCTCCTCCTCCTCCTCCTCCTCCTCCTCCCGCGCCGGCGGCAGCAGCACCAGCGTGATCCTCCGCACGTGGCTGTCCCGCGTGCAGGTGGCCGTGGACGTGGCCCAGGGCATCGAGTACGCGCACGCGCACGCGGACGCCGCGCACGGCCGCATCTCGCCGTCCGCGGTCCTGCTCGTCCCCGACGCCCACGGCGGCCAGGGCGTGCGCGCCGTGCTCACCCACTTCGGCGCGGGCCACTTCGCCGCCCCCGACGACGGCGACGCCGACAACCAGGAGCGACCCTCGAAGGGAAAGGCGTCGGACGTGCGCGCGTTCGGGGTGCTGCTGCTGGGGCTGCTGTCCGGGGAGGGCGCGGAGAGCCGGTACCGGTTCGACCGCGCCACCAAGGAGTTCGCGCGCGTGTCGGTGGTGGACACGGCGGCGGAGGCGGTCCGGACCGGGCGGGTGCGCAGCTGGGTGGACCGGCGGCTGGGCGACTCGTTCCCCGTGGCGGCCGCGGAGAGGCTGGTGGAGGTGGGGCTGCGGTGCGCCGCCGATGAGGATAGCGAACGGCCGGAGATGGCGTGGGTGGCCGGCAAGGTGTCGCGGGTGTACGTGGAGTCCCGGGCGTGGGAGCGCACCCTGCAGCCGCCCTCCGACGACCTTTCCTCCGTCGCCCTCGCGCCGCGATAGATAGCAGCCAGCCATTACTAATCCAAAGCTGACCTTTCTTTTTATTCTTCTTCCCTTCACATCCATCCACTGTCTCTCAAGTCAAATACGTACAGTAGATTCTTGTTGCATTTTGAGCTGAGGATTTGAAAGGCTTTCAAATTCGATTTACTTCAAATTCTCTTGTAATTTAACAAATGAGGCTCATGGCATTGCTCGATTTCCCTTTTCACATCCATCGTCTCTCATTCATCAAATCAAATACTCCATCCATCGTCTCTCATTCATCTGCTCGTCTTTAGCTTTCTAAAATAGTAACCGGTGAACGTTCGCCTGCCCAGCGAACACAGTTTTGATGACTTTTTACACCCAAAACTAAACGGATAACATGGCAGTTTTGTAAAAAAAAAACCACCAGGGCTCTTCAAATTCACTGAAAACTGCTTGACGAATGTTCGCAAATGCCATGTTCTGTGGCGAACGTTCGCCGGATATGCCCATCCTTAGCTTTTCCTTCCCGATCCCTCAACGACTAGGACAAACTCTCCTTCTGGGCACCATCACCAAGCCCATGGATTCGCTTCCCCTCTGTCTGCTGCTACAGCGGCTAGTGGCGGGAAGGGGAATCCGGTGCCTCCACTCTTGTTAGTAGTTCAGGTTAGGCTTTTTAGTCCTTGCGGGCGCGACGCTCCGGCGAATGGCGGTGCTTATTCGACTTGTCTTCCGGGCTTTGATTCTCCTCAAGTTTGTTCATCTTGGGACAGTGAAGTTAGGGTTTTTCGTCGTGTGGGAGATTGGTGTGGGGTGCTTCAGATCTATTCAAGGGTTGGTCGCAGGGCGCTAGTCACTTAGATTCAACAGAACTTTGATAATAGATTTTGTTGCATTTGAGTTTTGAATTCAAAAAACAAATGAATTCAAATCGTAGACAAAGCTCCTTCGAATTCTCTTGTAATTTCAACAACTTAGGCTTTCAGCAGATAAGAGGAAGAGGAAGTAATTTGATTCTTCCTTCCTCCATCATCCATTTTTCTTCTTCTCTTTTACTCCCCCCGTCCCATAATACAAGACATTTTTTGCAAGCTTGTTAGATTGCAAAAAGAAAGTCTTTATATTGTGGGACGGAGGAAGTAATTTGTTTTTTAAACTTTGGCGTCCAAATGAACAAACAGTGATAACATTGGTAAAATGGCCCACATTGTAGTACTAGTTTGATCTTTCTTTGCTCATTACTACTGTCCTTGACAAAATAACATCCACATGAGAGGCTTAAACAGTGAGATTGCAAGTGCTAACTAATATCCATTCTGAGAGGCTGTTTTTTTGTTTGTTTGTTATAAACCACAGCCAAATGTCTACTATACCAACAATGACATGATAGATAGGTAAAGGCTTCTTCAACTGCTGGTAAATTTGCATTCCATTCACCTCCTGCTGCTGTAGTAGTGCCTGTCCCTCTCTCTGTCCCTTTCCCTCTCCCTCTCCCTGTCCCTCTCCCAGTCCCTTTCCCTTTCCCTCGAGCCCGAACCCGAGCCCGAGTGCTGCCTGCTCGAAAACGAAGGGCTCGGGGTCCAGGCACCATCGTCATAGCCAGATGAGCTTCTTCTTCCCGCACCAGGGATCGCCGGTCCGTAGTCGTACGAGTGATACCTCGATGACGAGTAATGCTCAACGCCTGGAGGAGCAGGAGGAGCTCTATCCCTCGAATCTGATGACGAGTGCTGGTTGTGACGGCCCGAGGAGGACTGAAGAGGGGGCGGAGGAGCGCTGCCCCACAGCCAAGGGTCGCCGTTCTCTGGGACGGGCGCGTTTATTCCAGGGAACCCCACCGTCATCCTCTTGCGAGGCGAGGATGCTTCACCCTTCTCCAGCAGCTCTCCCTCCTCCTGCTGCTGCTGCTCTTCCTTCACCTCCCCGTCCCCAAATATGGTGATGCCAGATGGCTTATCTTCATCTTCCACCTCATCTAACAAACCAGAATCATTTTCAGTTAGCCCACACACAAGAGTCAAGACTAAACTATGAAGACTTGCTCTCTTCAATTGAGGGTTGGACATTGAAGTGCTCTGCTTACCTAGGTAACCTGGAGGATAGCCCAATTCACGCATCCTGTGCAGCCACGGCGGCGGGTCATTTTCCTGCATGGATTGCGATACTCTCAGGAGAAAAGAAAAACTTGTGCAAGTTTACATAAATTAATTGTGGCAGTGCTGTTATTGGTTCCTAGGCAACAAGAGAATCTTCCATTAAAAAAAAAAACAGGACTAGTGCTCTAGCAACAAAATTGTTTCAGCAAAAAAACTGAACCCTACATTGTTCGAACTATTTTGTTGTAAGGGCATCAAAGACGATTGGCTGATTACAAAAAGGATTTGAAACTTCATTTCAAGAATTTGTACGGAATTTAGTCATGGTTGATCATACCGAAAGAAGGATGCTGTACTGACAACAAAATCATTTACCCTAGACAATAATCAGACAACAAAACGGTTGGACTGACACATGTTTCTGTTTGTTTATCGATGCTACTAAAATTCAGAAGAACAAGAATCTGTACATATAATCAACCATTTGCTTTCAGCTCATGTATGCACATATTTACAGATTGTTTAATTAAGCTAACAGGTGAAAGCTAAAAGATGGGTCCTTCCATCTCAGAGTTCAACTAAAGATTGTATATCCTAACAATGAAAAAAAGATACTACATCCTAATCGTGAAAACAAGGAAAACAAACAAGAAGACCAAACAAAATCAAGTGAAAAAGAGAACGCGTACCCTGAGCCCCAAGCATTCTCTAGTCTCAGATCCCAGGACTCCTGCCTTCAGATCATCAAATTTGCCTGGCGTCTTCTGGTAGTACCGATTTTGTCCACGATTACCAACATTAGATAGGTTCCTTTTCAAGTTGTGCTGCTTGCGGGCATTGCTAATTGCAACATGGTCACGAGGCTTTGGGCAATCCTTCAGAGCATGACTGTACGAACCACAGTTGAAACAGCGAGAATCATCCTTATCTTTCTTGCTGCCAGAGAAACAAGACATGTCATGTTGCAGATCCACGTAAAGGTATACTAATGCTATAATTAGCCATCAACTATAAGAAAGATCATCAGAAGGCAAGAAACGCGAAATGGAAGTAACTATGAGACCATGATCAGACAAAGAAATTCGAACAGAAGCCCTATGTCTAGAGAGAGATTGAACTGTTTTGAACTTTGGAGTTACTAGTTACTATGTCTTCAGTACAAGCATACCAGCTTCAATCATCTATTCATAGTCTAAGAATATATTGATATCAGGACACAGATCATTCACAGATCACATTTGATGATCAAGATATGACATATATGAATAAATCAAATTGCTGATATTTATACTCATTAATTTACAACATATTGGTGTCATGCAGAAACTAGTATTAAGACTCCAGCATGTAAATACAGCTATGATGCTTGCCCAAAATATTTAGGAATAAAGGCGATGGAACTTTGACAGTCATGTCGAATGCAAGGTCACTCACAAATGGCATTTTAATTCTACCAGGTAATGCAAGATCAGAGAATAAAAATAAGAGCAAGGTCGGTATATGGACAGAATTCATAAATACCCTTCAGCATTTGATGAATCACCCATAGGAGTTGAACCCAATGTGAATTCTCGATCATACAGCGGCACCGCACCATCATCCACAGCAGCATTTCCTCGTGCTTGGCTATCCACCCAGAATGACTTCTCAATAAGAAAAACAAAATAAAACAACAGGTAGAATCATTAGATTCTAACTAAAACCACAAGTCAGATCTCAACTCAAACGCAACACGGACCAAAGATAAATAAGAACTAAGACATACATCTATCCTGCTGCCACATCTACTGATTATATCCTATCCTGATACTAGTCATATCTCATATCCAAGTACTGCTTAATTTTCCTTTTTTAGGGCAATCCTATGCCTTAATTTTCTTTTTCAGACAATGCTATGTCTTCCTAAATAGGCATGTGTTGCTGTCTTGGACATGCCAGACAGCCACAGGGCCCAGGCCGACCATAACGCCAAATGCTCTATGAATATTATCTGCCAATCAATTAACTAGGAAAAAATTTGGTTGTTCATTTTTATCTCTGAAACAGTAGAGTCAGGATCTCCTACCAGTAAGGGCTGAACAACAACCAAACCTCAATGAGCTGTTAGAGAATGCACTCTTATACTACAGGGGTGCAAGAGAAATTCCTCGAATGTAGTATTAAAGGGGATATTGAAAGTAACAACCAAATGAAGCAACTAATCAACTGTGTGCTATCTAGCTAATCTGGAGCCTCAGTGAAATAATTATCAGTCTCTGGGATTGTTAGCACCATCCTCATCTGGAAATGAGTAGTTGCTTCATGTGCTAGCTGGGTAAATGTGAAGGTGATGCTATATCTTGATGCTCATGACAGGTACATTGCAAGTAGCACAGTTGCAATTTTCGGAAGAAAAAAAAAACTCGTATAACTCCAGCATGGCAGCATGTCTTTGATGTCCACTTTAGTGAATGAATTTAATCGAAAACAGACCAACCAAAGTTTTGTAACAGCAAACCCATACTTTAGTTGGAGGTTTAATCTTCAGACCGAGCTTACGAAGGATAACAATGGCGAGCTTATACATACCACAGCACAGGATCGCTCTGAACCAACATGTAATGCTGGATAATAAGTCTCTTCACCGCAGTCCAAGACTTCTTCTACAGTTTCCTGCCATTTTCACAACCAAAATAAACAGCAATTATCAACAAATGGGAATCTGGTGCTCAGCACTTTTTCTGTTACACAGATGTATCAGTCCTGTTCTAGTCTATAGTGACCTATTAAAATTTATCCTCCACAAGTCACTATTTTCTTCTATTGGCCAAGGCAATAATTATATTTTGGCAGCGAAGCAATAATCATAGCACCCCCAAACCATGGAAACGAACTAAGTACCCTACCGAGGGAACATGGAAGATATATATTACAAGAACGAAAACTAATTCTGCCATGCCCATTTTCTTCTTAATCCCTGGTGCCCATATCCTATCGACCTAAACAGCTCTCATTTAAACCGTAGCCAGAGAGCTGCTGACATGGGAATAAATTGTAAAGTCGATTGATGCAAAACTAGCATAAGAGCAAAAGCCACGGTTGCAAGGAACAGTACCGTCGAGGCGTGCTGCTTTCTAGCTTGCCACTCAGACCATTGTTGCATCAGTTCCATGAGCTTCTTTTTGCTTTCCCTGGAATATTCAGAAAAATAAAAGTAAGCACTCGAGCTAGAGTTTATTAAGCTGCTTCAGAAGGATAAATTGATTAACAAGTGCAATGCGCTGCCCTAGATATTATTCATTCAGAGAGAAAACAAGAAACAGCTCGTGTTTAACGTACCTTGTCAAGTTGTTGTAGACTACACGGACAGAAGGCTCTGTTGATTCAGCACGGGCTCTTTTAACTCCTCTTGTGGCTGAACACGCAATATCATCAAGGAACAAAAACATGTAGCAACGATCTGATTGGTAATAACTGTAACCCTGGCACTGTTTAGTCATGTCAATATACTAGAGTTCAAGGTAAGAAGATGGAAACAAAATAGGTTAGTCATCATGTGAATGTGAGAGGAGGATACGGCTTTGGTCGATAAAGGCGCTGCCCGGTGTCGAAAGGGGAGGCCCATCATTGTTGGCCTTGGGCGTTTGAGCAGCTGAAACACGACCATGCTGCTTTGTAACAACGACTAGCGCATTGTCGTCGGAGAGGTCCATGTCCTCAACCTGACCTTCTTCGAGGTCGATGACCCCATCAGAAGGAGGCGGCCCCACTCCTCCATTGGCACCCAGGGCTTCTTGTTGGGGCTTGGCCTGGTGGGGGTTGTCTGCTGCTGTCCCCTGCGCATGTTGGGCACTGGCTTCTTCGGAGGCGACCTGCCCTTCCTCGAGGTCGATGATGTCGAGGAGGGAACTAGTACTAGTACTAGGCTTGCCTTGTGGTTGTGCATTGAGATTCAGATTCAAATCGACGGCATCGACTTGGAGGGCATGGTCGAGATCTATGATGCCTTCCGAGGCGCCAGGCTCGGATGCGCCGAGGCTGATGAACTCCTCCATCTGTCTCAATCTCTTGTCTTGGAGCAGGGGAGGGCTGCAGATTCAGAATGAATGAATCAAGAGCAACACCGGCTGAGGCTGATGCCTTGAATCATGCACGGGCTGTGGCCACAAAGAAAGAAAGAAAGAAAGAAAGAAAGAAATTTTGACTAGGAGCGGAAATCAAGCAACCAACTAAAATAAATTGGAGAGATCCGTATCCATACCTTACCTGGTGGAGCTGTGGATTGCGGGCGGTCGGCTTCCTTCTTCCTCCTCTGCCTATAAGGAGAGAAAGAGGAGAGGAGAGGAGAGGAGAGGAGGCGGCGGCGGCGGCGGCGGGGAGCTGTCCGTCTCCGTCCCCAACTCTTCTATCTATCTACGCTCGGTACGCTCGGTAGTACAGTCGTACAGTACCCGAGAGTCCGTCCGTCCGTCCGGTTGGTATTCTGCTCGTGCTCGTGCTCGCTCGGCCGTAATCCGAGTTTGGACCAAAACCGATGGCTCTTTGATTCAAACCAACCAAATTTACATCATTGTGGAGGATTTCATTTTCTCCTTACAAGAAAAGAAAAAAAATCTACCTTTGTGATTAAAATACTTTTGAAAAAAAAAATCAATCTTCCTCCTCCCGCAGCTCTGCGTGCGCTCCCCCTCGCCATTTTGCTCGCCTCTGATGCTCGTTGTAGTCAAATTGGAGTAAATTGCATAAAACCACCACTTTGAGGGCTAGGTTTGCGAAAATCACTAGGGTACAGAAAAGCACCACGAACTTTTCACTGAGGAGGATGCCCAGATTATTCTGTCCATTCCGGTGAAACCAGATATGGAGGACTTCCCTGCGTGGCACTATGATAAAAAGGGCCTTTTTTCTGTGAAGTCTGCATATCACCTGGGTGTGAGCATCAAGGAAGCAGATGGCCAGCGGGATGCAGGACCTTCATATTTGGAAGTGATCACGAATTGGCAACATATTTGGAAGCTTGATCTGCCTGGGAAGGTCCGAATGTTTCTTTGGAGGCTAGCTCACAATAGCCTACCAACAAGGATGAATATAAGAAGGAAGCACATAGAATTAGACACACTCTGCCCGATGTGTTCCAGACTTGATGAAGATTTTATGTGTGCAAGCTAGTCAAGGCTGTAGAAATCTCTAGAAAGACTTATATTTAGAAACGGAGGGAGTACTAGTATATGCATGCTACCCCTCCACTCCCATCACATTCAACTTTTGTGGTCCCAAGAAACAATATATATATATATATATATATATATATATATATGCAGAGGAAAGACATTTCGTAATAAAAACTAGTAGTATCTCAGTTGCCGTGTGATTGGTCATGTTGCATGTAAACTTTTGTCAGGACTAGGATAGATCTTGGGGTGTATTAGTATATTGGATCCATCCATATTGTACTTCTTCTTTTCACACAAGTACATTTCATCATCAATCGCATCAGCATCAGCTACTTCGAAAGGAAGATTCAACTTAGTTCCATGTGGAGATCTGTGAGTGAAATGAATTTGACTCTGCATATATACACCACACCACATCTAGGTTTGATCTTGACAAGAGCGGAGGGCTCAGAGGTAACGGCGCTTTAGAGGCCGATTTTGCTGACGAATAACTTTAGATATTTTCCTTTTCAACTTCACCTGCTCGCGGGCCATGCTAATTGAAACATGGTCGTGAGGGTTTGGGCAGTCCTTGAGAGCATGACTAGATGAAGCACAGTTGAGACACCGCCAACCATCCTTCTCATCTTCTTTCTTGCTGCCACACAAACAACACAAGTCCACTCACAATTTGCATTTTTATTCTTATTACCAGGCAGCTAATCCAAATTGAGAAATAAAATAAACATGACCAAGGAGGTCATCATATATATGGACAGAAAATGATAACTGCTACTACCTCTCAGCATTTGATGAATCACCCAATGTAAATTCTCGATCGTACAGGGGCACCGCGCCATCATCCACATCCACATCCACAGCAGCATTTTCTCGTGCTTGGTTATTATCCACCCAGAATGACTACTTGTCAATGAGTAAGTAAAACAAAAAGGTCATCCACAAGCCAGGCAGATCTTAACTCAAACTCATGGAAGGAAAATATAACTAGGAAAATTCTTGGTTATTCCTTTTTATCTCTGAAGTAACAGAGTCTGGAAAAGGGTATCTCTTCTACCAACAGGGGGTTTCCATTTTGGTTAGTGAATGAATTTAATTTAAAGACCATACCATGCTTTAATTGGAGGTTTAAACTTCAGACTGAGCTTAGGAGGGATAAAAATGGCATACTTGTCCGTACATACCACAGCACAAGGTCTCCCTGAACCAACATGTATTGCTGGATAATAAGTCTCTTCACCACAATCCAAGACCTGTTCCGCAGATTCCTGCCAGCCATTTTCACAACCGAAGTAAACGATAAACATCAAGAAATGGAACCTGGAGTTGAGCACTTTTATATTATATAAGAAGGTAACAACAGTCATACTCTCCACAAGTCATTATCGCCGTCGGCTTATATTGGCCAAGGCAATATCTAGTATATTTTTTCAGTAAAGAATAACAATGGTACCAAAACCAGCTGACCAAGGGTGCTCTACTGAGGGAACATGGGAGATATAGAGAACCAAAAGTAATTCTGGCATGCCTGTTTTCTTCATCGTCTCTGGTTTAAAGCATATAGCCAGAGAGCTGATGACAGATACAGATTGTGAAGACGGTGTGGAACCACCGTGCCAGAAGAAGTCATATATAGTGTTGCAAGCAAGAGCAGTACGTACCGTTGAGTTGGGTTGCTTTGTAGCCTGCCACTCGGACCATTGTTGCATCAGTTCCATGAGCTCTCTCTTGCTTTCTCTGGACAAATAACGTCAGGAAAAACAAAAGTTAGCACTGAAACAAACTAGAGTTTTAAGCTGCTTTGGAAGGATAAATAAATTGATTACCAAATGCAATGGTGCGCTGACATGGATATTAATTATTCAGAAGAAAGAAAAAGCATCTCGTGTTTGACGGACCTTGTCAAGTTGTTGTAGACTAGGCTAACAGAAGGCTCGGTTGATTCCGTCGGGGCTCTGTTATCTCCTCTTGTAGCTGAAGACGCAATATCAAGGAACAAAAACATCTGATTTGTAATGAGGACGGTACATACATATATCTGTAATCCTGGCACTCTTTAGATGTCAACACGGTTGATGATGGAGATAAGGAGGAATAATTAATTAAATTACTAATGTGTGGGTGAGAGGATACGGCTTTGGTCGATAAGGGCGCTGCTCGTTCTTGAAGCATGAACAAGGGCAGCCTCAGGCCCACTGCCCTTGCCCATTTCAGCTGAAACACCATGTTTTGTAACAAGGAGCACGTTGTTGCCATCCGAGAGGTCCATATCCTCAACCTGCCATTAGCAAGAAATTAAAGGAGAACCTTGTGCTCAACATTTTTATATAGATAATAACAGTCCTATTCTAGTCTATATATAGTAGCCTATTAAAATACACCCTCCACGCACGCGTTATTATCTTCTTCTAGTGCATAAGGCAAATTTTCTTTTTGAGGAAAACAATAATTAATTACAGTATATTTTAGCAGTGAAGCAATAACAATAGCACCAAGAAGATGAGAAGCAGCTAACTAGGCAGCCCAAGGGTACTCTAAAGATTATAAAGTTGATTCGTAGCAGACAGCAAAAGCCATAGATATATAGTTGTAGCTTGTAGTAAGGGATGATAGCAAACTGCAGTACCGTTGAATAAGAATTGGGTTGGTTTGTAATTCTAGTAGCTTGGCAGTGGGACCATTGTTGCATCAGCTCCATGAGCTTCCTTTTGCTTTCCCTGGAATAAGTATGTATGTATCGGGGAAATTAATTAAAAGGTAATTAAGGACAACAAATTGATTAACAGATGCCATAGATAATATTCATTCGTTCATTCATTCAGAATAAGTAAAAAGAAGCAGCAGCTGGATGGTGTTTAACAGATGGACCTTGTCAAGTTGGTGTAGACAAGACGAACAGCTGATTCCGTGGACCGGCCCTTGGGTATTTCAACTGGAACACAAGAAGAAGCCGCATTGGCATTGATGTCGACATTGTCTTGTGGCTGAGTCTGTGTCTGTGGTGGTGCATCCATGATATCGAGATGGACGGCTTGGAATTGGTTTTGCTGGACCTGGAGGTGTATGATGCCATCCTTATCCTTGGGAGTGGGAGCTACACAAGATTCGTCGCCAAGGCTGATGAACTCCTCCTCCATATATCTCTTAGCTTAGCTATGGATGGCTGGGGCTACACAAGATGAAGATGAAGATGAAGATGAAGATTCAGAATCAGCTGACAGCAACCAACAAAATTTAGTAAGAGCAAGTGGGTGGATGGATGGATGGATGGATCGGGGCTGGGGAAAGAAGCCAGATCCATTCCATACCATACCTGCGAGCCTGTGCGGAGGGATCCGATCGAGAGAGTGAGATTGCGTGCGGGCGGGCGGACGGCGGCGAGGAAGCCAAAGAAGGAAGGAATGAAGGGGGGAACCGCGACGCGCGATTAGAGAGAGGCGGAGGTGATTCCTTGCCTTGCCTTGCAGGAGGAGAGGAGGATGAGGGGGATGACGGCGGCGGCGGCGGCGGCGGCGAGGAGAGGGAGACGGCGGCGGCGGCGGCGAGCTCTAGGTATGAGTAGGTATGAGTAGTGGAAGGTAATGAAATTTTGGATTTAGTTAAGATTTTCTGAAGATTTGTTTTGAATGAGTTAATGTATGGTGTTATTTTGAGAAAGTGCCGATTTGATTGAGTTAATGCACGCGTTAAATGAGCCGGTCCAAATTGGTTGTACTTGAGCGAAAGATCGTCTGAAGACGCTCACGGACCTAATATAGTGTTTGCCTACGACTTGATGAGAGTGAAGCAAGACTATCAACTCCCATTTGGGAATAGAGATAACTTGAATAATAATAGTACATACAATTTGGAAAGATGTGTAAGAAATAGTAGGTGATTATCCACCTAATTATTAATAACTTTTTTTGCATGGTAATTGATAACAACTCTTTTTTTGCGGGAAAGTAATTAATAATAACTTTTTTTGACTCGACAAATTAATAATAACTTGACAGCCCGCATTCATGTTTCGCCAGCGTATTTTGGATCTTTTTTCCAAAAGAAGATTAGCACGAGAGTACTCCCTCCGTCCGCGAATAAGTGTACTTCTATATTTTATCCTAAGCCAAAGTTTTAAACTTTTGACCAATTTTATGGAAAAGAATAGTAGCATATATGACATCAGATTGGCACATTACGAACTTACATTTCAAAACGAATCTAGTGATACTAATTTAGTGCCATACATGATGCTACTCTTTCCTATAAAGTTAGTCAAAGTTTTTAAAAACTTGACTTGAGACAAAAGCGGCATGAACATTTATTCGTGGATGGAGGGAGTAACTAAGTATAGAAGGATATTAATGATTATGCATATCCAGTCTGGTGGTGATTATCAAGGAATGCTTGATCTTTTTGCAAGGGAATACTCTCTCCCTCTTTATTGCTCTTTGTCTATATATAGAGCAAGGAGTAATAATTAAGCTGTCTTCCTTTTCTCCTATGCCTTCCGATAATCTAATGTGTTTCGCGTGTTTTGCATTCATATATGCATAGGTGAAGGAATGATCATGGAGGTGGATAATGGTGGTAAGGGGAAGGAGAAGATCAGCTTACCATACGGGTTGTGCGTCCATAAAAAAACAGTTGCCCCTGCTATTATCACCACTTGTGCTACTGTTGCGGTCTCACCAATGTCTGCCATGCTACACTCGATGAATGCAAGCAAGATTGCAAATAATATATACTAGAACATGAAGGCGCGCGTTGCTGCGCCCGTCTATCCTGATGAAAGTTCAATATTTTTCTTAATAAAACAAGCAATAGAGGTGAAAATTTGAATAATTGGTCAATATTGCCTCATTTTATTGCAAGGAATACAACATATTTGGAATAACATTACAGAAGAGCTAGTTCAAACTTTGATGCAGGCGGCAGTGGGCAGGTGAGTGAGCGAGCGCTGCCACGCGGGTAACAAAGGAAAGCCGTGGTGGCAGGCGACAATTTGGTTGGCTCGGTCAGGGTCAGCATCCCTACGCGGCGCACCAGTGGCACAGAGGGGCGGCAACGATCGTCGGCAGCCATACCCATACCGTGAGTGACTGGGCTTCAACTTGAAGTATCAGGCGGTTCTCTCCTGCCAACGTCAACTGTGCTATG